TTTTGATAAATTTGTCATAAAGAAAATAATTAAAAAGTTGCATAAGTGATCGTTAAATAAATGATAAGATATACTATTGATAAATAAAATGATAAAAATTGATACCGTATGGCTTGGATAATTTTGAACAAAATTTTGGCACGATTATCTAATTCACCACCGAATTCATCGTTACGAATATTATCATTGCTTGTGATTAGTTGTCCCAAGGCGAAGAAATAAGTGCATGAAATTTCCACACCATTGAAACCTTTAGTAATTAAATTTTATTAATATAAGTTTTTTCATCTTAATGTTTTAATTTTTAATCAATATTCAAATGAATCATTTGAAGCTGCCTGTAAAATTATTATAATAATTTAAGCTATTGCTGTAGGAAAGGAAATTTTTTAATTTTCAAAACGTAATACGCAATTATTAAAAACAATAAAAATTTCGTGATAGGAAAGATATCGATATAATCTTAACGTTATAGGGAGGTTGACATCAAAACTGAGCTTAATTTGATATCAAAATAGCGGTATTAATTACTTATATTGTAGTAGCATATCAATCAAATGTTATCAATATCAGAAAAATGAAAAAATACGGTACCCAGCCAAATTCATGATATCTATCAATTTCGCTGCAGAATTTTATTTCGGAAACTGATGAAATTCATCAGCGATATTCCCGAGATCGAAAAGTAAAATGGTTTTTATGAGTTGGAAACAAATAAAAACAAACCACATTGTTGAGCATAGCTTGCAGCATAAGCGTAATCATTAATTAGTTCTCCAATTTTCTTCCGTGTCAATTTATTAATATTGAAATCTGTTTTATGCGGTAAGTCAGCAGCATATTTTCCAGGCTAAATGCGAGAAAATTGAGAAATGGAAATACGAATGAATGTTATATAAATATGAAAAAATTACTTTCGAATTAAATTCAAAACTGAAATTATTTTGCATTTTTATTTATTGCAATAAATGTTGTTTATTAATTACTATATATGTTGTAAGAAAAAAAATCCTCTTGACAAGAACAGATTACACATGGTTAGAAGATTTTTGTCAATTTATCCAATCTATCATATCTCCCTTTTTATTTTTATTATTAATTTTAATAAACATTCAAATTTTAATTTTAAAACGTAAAACTTTAGAATTGCGTTGTTTTTTTTTTTTTACATTTAGTGACATCTTGATCATAAAGGGTAGTAGACACGGAAGCATTGTATTTTTATAAATGTGTTTTATAAAAATTAGCAATTAATCTGTGATATTAATTCAGTAAGTGCAACTGAAGCAGCGCTGTAAAATAGCTGATTTAAAATTATACACAACTTATCTGAGCAAATGACATTTTCCAACTAATTTAAAGTGACAGAATTGTTTATAAAAGTTTTTTTTTTTTAAAATACGGTAGAATTATCTGGAATAATTCTATGTTATAAGTCTGATTTAACAATCATTATTTAAAGCATTTTTTTCATTATTTGAAATATCTGAAATGTGATTTTTTACTTGCTAAAAGGCTAATTCATACCAAAAAAAAATTTCAAATTTAAAAGCTGTGATACTTCAATTAATTTTAAATTGAAAAAATTATATGATTCAATATTATTTTAACCCAAAATAGCACATAAAATAAATCGGCAAATTAGATGTTAGCCATCATTTTACGTGATAAAGCTATAATGCATTTAATGGAATAAGCAAAATTTATTTGATTTATTTTCTTCATTTTTTTCTTTTAAATTTATTTTTTCTAACTCCGACAGGATAATGTCCCATTACAAACTGTACAAAAGCAATTATCTGCTTTTTAATATACCTTTTGTTGCCATCAATAATAGCTTGTGAGTTGGTTTTCAAAAATTAAAGCCAGTATAGACAATTTCAAAAAAAAAAAATAAAGATAAAAATAAAATAAAAAATGAAAAATGGGAAAATGAGAAAGAAAGAAAAAGCAAACATGGAACAGCTGGGCGATAATGATACTTCCACTTCTTTTAGCGCATTGAGTCCATTCCTTAAATGCATTTTGACGCTCTTCAGAATCCAATTCTTGATCGATGATTACATTGCCCGGAGCTTCGATATCTTTCTGAAATAAGTTAGCGAAGCTAACGGAAAAGCTAAAAAAAAAAAGGAAATTGATATTTCTAATGAATGAAAACCATTTTCATATAATACATTGAAACAAAAATCCTTTTAACTCTAATAAGTTGCATACAAATAAACAAAAAAAGAAAAAAAAAACGAAACAACTCAATGTGATTAACAAATTAAAAAAAAAAAACATTTCTTTTTTACCATGAGAATGAAAAAAAAAGCTTCTTTTTTTCTTCCGTACAAAAACAAAAAAATATTGTAATTTTAAAAGAAGTACAAAAAAAAGGGAAAGAAAAAAAGTTAGTCATCTTTTCTGACTTATATTACTTATCATATTAGAAATAGTTCAGAGCAAATATTTTGTACTATTAATTACAGTTTTACTTAAAACTTTTTTAGGAATTTAAATAAAAAACAAAAAAAAAATGTTAATAATACTTTTAAGAATGACTTATATTACTTATCATATTAGAAATAGTTCAGAGCAAATATCTTCCTTTCTTTTTCCCTTTATTCCATCATGATAAGAAAAAAATAAAATTTACCCCATTAATCATAATACAGCCAGTAACGATAGTCCCGAAACCTCCGTCAGCAAATTTTTCATACAAATTAATTAACTCGCGTGTTGGTATACCACTCTTCTTCATATCATTCTTATCGTATGTTGCCAGCTAAATGAACAGAAAAAAAAAACAAAAAATAATGAACAAATAGAAAAAAATGGATAAATAAAAATAAATGGCACAATCATGAAAATTTCAATAATCTCAAGAATAATTCATTGATTTTAACTCAATATAAATTATCAACTAGTATTTGACTGAAAATATTTTTTTATTTACGAATGTTACCATATTATTATTATTATTGTCATTATATAATATT